TCTGCACATAATGTATATTGCACCAGTACAAAATCATGACAATTTGACCTGTGAACACTTGCTATTTACACCATAAACAATACAGTTTTCATTAACATTGTCAAACAAGAGATGGCTGCAGATAAGTGAGAAACGGATTCAATTACTTAATTTACCCGTGTGCATGCAAACAAAACAGTGTACAAGAGATTAGGAGGAAAAGTGAAAAAAGCTAAGCAGCATGACGTACCTGCCTCGGACCCCTCCATCCATACCATTCTGTTCCGGATGTAGAGACAGTGTGTCTTTTGAAAAAATGCTATCCTGGTGTCCTGTTAAAGATGCGTTGTGCCTTTCTGAAGGGTAGGAACGTGCTCTATTTACATTTATGTCTGCTAATGATACTGGAACTGTAGTGCCGCTGGCAGTAGTCCTTTCTGAAGAGTTTGTGGAGGATCTAAATTGAGTCTTCACACTAAAAATTAAAAGCAAAAAATCAAACCGGTCTCGCATAAACACAACGGCAATTCACAGCTAGAATTAAATGTTTTGAGAAATTCCCTGAAACATTTGAATTAAATTTGGTTAAAGCAGTCTGCACTGGCAACAAAACCACTAGTAAGCTAGCAAAATGGCCAAGTACCAATATACCCAAATAAAGGCCAAATCCAGGAAGTATCCCAGTACAAAGTACATTCATGGTTACCTTCGTTAGATACACTCCACAAAATCTAAGCTCTCCCTGGTTCACCTGCTTCCTACAGCTTCCTGTTTCTTGTGCTATGTATGCTGTAAATTCAAGTAGACCACACAACTACCTAGGGCAGACCATAAAACAGGATGCATGTGGATGAAATGTCAACAGCAGGAACAGACTAGATTTTGTTGCAGTGTATCGAAGGACAGAGTTCATGTAGTTTGTTTTTAAAGGCCAATTCCACTGTTGTGACCAGGTTTCATATTGTTACACCCTTGCATATGGTGTAATATGGAACGCAAGTGTTAAAAGACAGACCTGGGGACACAAAGTACCACTATCAATTGAATAAGAATTTAATCTTTAATAAAGTAATTTAAACCAGTGGTTCTCAACCCGTGTAACCTCGGGACCCACATGTTTCCTTGGTCATTAAGGCGTGACCCAAAAATGATTTCATTTCTGAAACATTTAAATTTATTACACAAAACAACTTGTGCAGTATTCAGCAACATTATATATATATATAACCGCGACCCACTGCAGAGGGTGTCGCGACCCACTTTTGGGTCGCGACCCACGAGTTGAGAACCACTGATTTAAACTGTACAGGAAGCCTAAAAGGTTACTTTACGGAGCCCTCAGCTAAGCAACAAGTAGTGAATAAGAAGATAAACAAGTCGCCACACTTGTAGTCCACTAATTGCTTCCTACATCCCCATAACCAAAGGTCCATACTTTGGCAGGGACATGGGTTGGAGGAAGAGTCTAAGATCCTGTGTATACCACCTACAATCCACTGATCGGGGCAATCATTCTATGCAGACCGCAGTGCAAAAAAAAAAGGTTTATAAATGCAGGTTTTTTTTCATTAGTGTGGGTGTTTACATTTACTGCAAAACTGACGCCTCTGTTTCTTGCCAACAGCTTCAGTGTGCGTCTTATACTAAGTAGATCATGAAGTGTTTCCCCCCAAAAGTAAACTTGTCAGCCAATTGAAAAACATTAACCCCTTCATGACTGAGGCCCTTTTTTCCATTTTTGCACCAATGTTATATTCCACATTTTAGGCCTGAAAATGACGTAAAACCCCCCAACATTATATATTTTCTGAATGCCAAGACCCTATAGAATAAAATGGTGGTAGTTGAAAATTTTTATGTTGCGCAATATTAGCGCAACTCCTTATTAAACCCCAAAATTTAGTGACAAATTTAATGAAATGCCCCAAAACACAACAAATTACCTATTTTTTTAATGAAATATAAAAGATGAGGTTACAACGAGTAAAACGATACCCAACATGCCCAGTTTACAGATTGCGTGCGACCGTGAAACGGCGAAAAACTGCAGTACCCCAAAAAATCAATAAAAGACACTTTAAAAGCCCCCACAGGTCATCAATTTAGAGATACCCCAAAATACAGCCCCTAGAATTATTGCTCTCACTCCGGCGTGCGCGGCGATACCCAACATGTGTAGCGCGTTCGTCGTTTTCATGCGTAGGCGCACCCGACGCGTGTTTACGTGGCGACGCGCGTGCTCGCGGGGGCGGGGTACTTTTAAATTTTTTTTTTTTTATTATTAGATTTATTTTATTTCATTTTAATTTTAAAAACTGTTTTTTTTTTTTTTTTTACTTTACTTTGACTGCTATCACATGGGGGGGCTTGCAAGCCCCCCCATGTAATAGCAGATGGTGGTGACAGGTCCTCTTTAAGGTGATGCTGGGGGTCCAAAAGACCCTCAGTGTCACCTTTACACTGGAAATAAGCTATTGAAGTGCAGATCGCACTTCAATAGCTTATAGCTGGGCTGCAGGAGCCCAGAACTGACAGCCCAGGGACCGGAAGTGATGCAATCTGCATCGCTCCCGGTCCCATAGAACGGGGAGGGGATCGATGAACGGAAGTTCGTCGACCTCCTCCCCAGCTCCCCGCGGACACAAAGATCGCCGGTCCCGGGCCCGTAGGAGGGGCAACGGAGCCCGGGAAGCACGGCGGGGGTGTCCGGCGGGGGGGGGGCCCCTTCTTCGGGACGCAGAAGCGATCTGGCGACAGGTAAGTCGCCAGGATCGCTTCTGTTGTAAAGCCGACAGTCGGCTCTACAAGTTTAAACAGAGTCCCGGCGGCAAAAGTCGCCGGGAGTCTGTTTAAACAGCCCCGATGCTGGCGACGTACACTGTACGTAGTCAGTCACGAAGGGGTTAAACAGTAAAAACACTGCCTAAGAGCACATACCATAAGCCTATTACCACTGCTAGCCAGAAAATAATTTTAAGTCAGATTCACCATTAACCTGTTCAATGTAGCAACTAATTATTTTCATTATCAATTAGCTGGCCGATTATTTTTCGATTAAATTGGAAAAAAATAAAATGCGATCATATTTCAAATAAAATAATTCTGGTGGTCCACGTATTACTATCAACCCAAAAAAAAAAAATACATTGCAAAGGTTCTATCCATGCAAGCAGAAATCAGTGACAATGGAAACCGGCTCAGAACATCCCCTGGTTATTACATTTTAACTCAGCCTGTGACCTTACAGGACTCTAAAACTTACCCAGTCTTTAACAAATGAGAAGCTAGCTGAACCATTCCAGAAAGTTTTCGTCAGACAGTTTTAACACAATACAATGAATTGCTAAAACTATTCTTTTGTTTGCAGAGCTGAACGTCAATCCTCTCTGCGGATGTTTAACAGTCCCTAATGAGCAAATTGGCATGTGCATGGAATGTATTACATTTTAAAGTGAGAACTAAAAACAGACACCACAGTCTAAGAATGTTCAGAGATCGTGTCAATATAATAGTTAAGCGTGATCACCTCATTAGACTATTACAAGATCTATATATACATACCGGCCTCTATGGAAAGGTCTTCCTATACTTATTGAAGCAGCACTTGTTTTATAAGATCCCGAAGAATTAAAACCATTTACAAAACCACCATTAGGAAAAGGAGCCTGCAGACCAAAAACACACTTTAGAGGTTGAACTTGCATAGTAGATGTGATCATAATGTTAATAGCAATTGAATTCCTTCCTCTTGGTCTGCCAATGGGTTTGGCATTATACCCAACACAAGCCCCTGTGTGACACTCAGAAGGCACAAAATAGTGGAAACCTCGAAGAAAAGTGTTGCTCCAACTTTAAGGCAACAAATGCCTTAAAGTTGGGGGGCTTGTTTCAACTAATTAACCGTGTCTGTACTGTGCCGACAGATTTCATTGTCACTTTTAACTAGATGAGCAGGACTGTGTGTGCTAGTGAAGTGTCAAAGCCCTGGAGACTTTGTATTGTAATGAGGGGGCACTCAGCTTTTCCCAAGTCTTCCTATTAGGACAGTCAGATTGTGCTTATTGAAATTGAAAGGAGCAAGATAAACAGATCTGTAATACATATATTTTCTAAATTACCCATGTAATTTGGTAACATGTTGATTGGCTTTCTCAATTTTGACTGCAAAAGTGGAAAAATGCACTTTAAACCTTTATTCCACAGGGTCCTTTAATACTGGAACATACTCAGCAAGGATCATTAATGGCTTTGTTAAGACAGGAAATGGCTGGGTCCATGATCGAGAGAGCCCACCTCAAAAAACCCTTTGCTAGGATATTAATGAGCAAAACATTTAGCCAAAGATGAGGCCAGTCACTATACAATACAGATTATACAGGTATTCCTCACTTAACGACCGAGTTCCGTTCCTACGACCAGGTCGTTAAACGAATTGGTCGTTAAGTGATGCCATGAAAAAAGTGGTGGTGGATTAGGCAATATGTACTGGAAGTGCACTCTAATTTTTAGACGAGAGGGGGTAGGATTAAATATGCAAGATCTTACTTTTAACTTAAAAAGTCTGCGATTAAAAGGTCAGTCCATCCAAAGATGTTACTGGAATTTTGGATGGAGTTTATAGCTTCAAGTACCCTGACAATTTCTTCTATCCCTCAGGGGCAGTTGGATCCATGTTCTGACCTAATGCAGTGCTGGGCACACCCTTTTCTAGGATTTTACAACACATTCATTGCAAGATTATTAGAATGAAGCAACTTACCATTATTGGCTTGTCCTGAAATGTTTTAACTTCTTCCCTTTTGGATGGAGTTTATAGCTTCAAGTACCCTGACAATTTCTTCTATCCCTCAGGGGCAGTTGGTGAAATACCAGACCTCAATTTCTTTAGCACACACACCTATTACAATTATAAGGCGTTCATAGTCTCCATAGATGGTTGGCTAGGGTGAGACTTTCATTTCTCTAATGTGCCACTTCACACAGGGTTTGCCTCAACCTTATGGATCACACTTGCACCGGCACATAAGATTTTTAATGGCGCAAGAGGCCCTCAGATCTCATAATCTTGCAATCACAGGGAAGGTTCAGCAGTCACACACTGAGCAAAAACTTGCCGTCAGAGGCCAGAAATGATCTTCCAGGTCTCCGAGAGCTGTATATTTTTAAAAACAGAGGGAAGAGGGATGGGATTGGAACTTAATAAGCAGCTCGTGTATGAATGTGAACCTTTCTACCCTCAAGGCGCAAGTTATCATCACTGGGCCATAAACTAAACTACAATGACCAAATAAACCAATCCAGTATCAAGAATAGTACTGTCTGCTCAAGCACAAGTGTACCGTTTTGTTGTTTTTTTACTTTGTAACCAAAAAAAACAAACCCCTTTTTATAATCAGCTTACCAGCGGTGTTTCAAAGTAAGGTGCTGGGCTTGGAGACCATGTTTGAGGCACAATGTTATAAATTGTAACCAAAAAACAACCTAGTAGATAGAAAGGTTTTTGGTGGAAAAAGTAGCTAAATAAATGGTGCACACAAGCTCAGACAATGGTTTGGGCTGCCAGTATAAACGCCCATGTTCGGACCTAATGCAATGCTGGGCACACCCTTTTCTAGGATTTTACATAAACACATTCATTGCAAGACTATTAGAATGAAGCAACTTACCATTATTGGCTTGTCCTGAAATGTTTTAACTTCTTCCCTTAGATACCTAAAAGCCTGAGCAAAGAAATAAGAGTAATTATGAAGTAGAAAGTGAAAACAGGCACGACAGAGCAAAATTCTGCAATACTTCAGGTCTTTTTGTGTATATGCTTCAAATATAGCTAAATGAAAAGCAATCCAGCACAATGCATATACATAGAGGCGGCATTTATCAAACAAGTTTGCAATTAACTTATTTTTTATATGCATTTGTGACCACGCACCTGTAATGTTGGGCAGCAAACACAGACTGACTTCCACATGTCTGACAGATTTACCACTGGAGATTAGTGAGCTTTTCACTCAATACAGATGCACAATGAAGTGGTAAGGGACAGGATTAATTCTGTCACAGTGCCATTTTAGAGCAGCGGGGGGAGGAATTAATGAATTAAACTGCCCAATTAGAATAAATGTGTCAAGTCTGTCTTTACAGCTCCTGTTTAGCACTGCTGCCTGGCTGTGCAACAGAACTGATAAAACATCCCTATGCCAGATTAGGACAGAGCGGATGTCACCGCTGTGACATCTGCGTCCATCCAGTTTTTACCTGCATCCTACCCGTAGACTAAGATTGGGCATCTGATCGGGTCCACTTGAAACTGACAGGTGGACACAGTCAGCCCGCCTCACACGTGCATTCTGTGCGGTTACCAATCTGTTTCAAATTAGTTATGACCAAGTTTATTACACCTTTGTGCAGGCAGTAACACAAAGAACCTAGGAATATTCAGTCATATTTTGGTCGGATTTGTCTTGCACTAATAGTACAGTAAAGGCATCACACATTACTCTTCTGCTGCAAAATCTGCCCATGCATCAAGCCGCAGCATCCACGGTAAAACACTGGTCACGCTGATGGAGTGGAAATATAAGAACGTACAAGTAGGCATCCTTGATGTCCACAGAGGCCAGAAGATTCCCTAGTTGAAGGGAAACAACGATTGACCTGGCAGATTCCATGCAGGATATTTGAACGTGAAGGAACCCTGAGTTTTCAAATCTTTGCAGGCTAAGGAAGTTTCATTGACCTAAGCAGTTAGAGGAAAATCAGACACTGGGGGAGGATGAGGGTGCTCCTTTGCAACTTATACAATCAGACATTGTAGCTGAGCCTTTCTCCCTGGACAAAGAGGGTGAACCCTACTCAGGCACCCACTTTGACTATTAGCTGAGTGTCCTGGCTGGCTCCCCTTGCAGCTATGATCTGCAGTGTGTGAGGGGTACTCATGACCTGCTACTGCAGAGTAGGAGGGTGTGCCTTCAGTAAGCACATTATGCTTAAAAGCCCAGTACATCCAAGGTTCACGGTGCTAATTCCTGTATAGCAGGAAGGAGGCAGAGGAGAACCCAGCTGTGGCACATGGGGAAGGAAACTGGTGGGCATAGGCACAGTACAGACAGAGAGAACTGTCCACCCAAGGACACTGAAGCAAAAATTGAGGCTTGTTGGGAGTGAGGGGTTATATGGGTCTGTCCTTACAGCTAGGTGTGCCTGTTTTTAATCACCTGACGGTAACCGTATATAAAAACACAGTAGTCTAAGATCCTGTGATGTAAGAAAAGTGCTTTTTTATTTACCATGTAGACCTACTTGAAACTACCTAAAACAATATTTTCTGAAGGCAGAGAACCTGTACAGTAAAATGATGGTAGCCGCAAATGTTTGTTGCAGGAGGTTTACACTAGCGTTATAAAATCTCTTTTCACAAACGTTTTATTTGGTTTTCAGAAGTATAGGTAAACAAATGGTCAATTCAACAAGGTATAACAAAAGATGCATCAGGATTCTAAAAGAAATGGAAGACCAAATGCACTTATATTCCAAAGAATTATGGAACAATCAGAACTGACCATACAAGGAGTGGGGTAGAACCTGGATAGATATAAGGGGTTAGGGTCCCCCAGCTGTAGCTTAATAATGTAAACTCAGCAGGTAGAGATTCTAAGGTAGGGGGGAGAGAGAGAAGTTTCCTTTAACCACCGAGAGGTCTCTAGATCGATCTGATCGGGCGTCCGCTCAGCCACCCCCACCTGAGCGCGCAGGAAACACCGGCGATTTAAAAACAGGCACCGATGCCTGTTAACATACAAGCGATCCGCCGGCTATAGAGCCGGCGGATCGCTTGTGTGAGCTGACTAGGTGACAGGGGTCTTGGAGACACCTGATGTCTCCATAAAGAGGACCTGCCACATCTTTTGCCATCACATAGGGGGCTAAGAAACTCCTCTATGTGATAACTTTATTGCTAAGTGAAAAAAACAAATAGGAAAAAAAATTAAAAGTTTCCAAAATAAAAAGTCGCACATAAAAAGGAATTAAAAAAAAAACCCCACCCATACAAACAGCGTCAGGTGCGCATAGCTGCGAAAACGATGATTGCGCCCATTACGCCGCACGTTACATATCGCCGCGAACGTTGGAGAGCAATCATTTTAGGGCCATCAATCACTGATAACACTAAACGGATGAGCGGTAAAAATATTTAAAGCGTCGCATATGGTCAATTTTTTGCCATTTCGTGGGTGCGCACAATTTTTAAGCATGACATGTTTGGTGTCTATTTACCCGACGTGACCCCGTCTTTTATATTTTACAAAAAAATTGGGTAATAATCGTTTCCTAATAATGTAAAAAACACTTTTTTTTCAAAATGTAAGGTACATTTTCTGAAATATAGTAAAAAATAAAAACCTGTAGGTGAATAAATACCACCAAAAAGAAAGCTCTATCTGTCCCCAAAAAAGGGTATAAAATTAATTTCAGTACAGCGTTGCATGACGGAATAAATGTCAAAGTACCGCAGCGCTAAATACTGAAAATTGGCCTGGTCAGGAAGGGGGTATAAACACCTGGTCTTGAAGTGGTTAAAGAGGCATCTTTCTGTAATTCAAAGCACTGAGATAATGTAAGGCTAAACAACATCCGAGGCAAGTCTGCGCCTTTATCTAAAATCCACTGTGCAAAGATGACCGGTTATGGGAGTGACTACAGACAATACTGCAATCAACATGCTTCAGGTCTCCTAAGCTATGAGATTTATTATGTGTGCAAATGACTCTGCAGCCTTTCTTGAACAGACTAATTTTCCTTCTGATTAAAATGACAGGCCAAGATTGATAACCTCCTTTGGAGGCAGGCCTTAGAGTAATGGGGTAATGCTTGATGGCACTGTATGAATACTTGTTTATAAAGGGAACATTGTTTTACGTTCTTCATCCACCATGTATATGTTTATGGATAGAGTGTTCTGGCTGTGATCAACAACTGTGTGGTAGGTATGCTTATGACTTTGAAGTGATGTTTGTTTTACAAATGTAAAAATTGCTGTAAATTTAATAAAACTTTTTTCCCCCCAAAAAATAAGGAACGATAGTTCACATAGAAACAAGCAGCAAATAGAAGTTACATCCATTCCACTTTTAGGGCTAGTTCACACCAGATGGAGTCTGTTCAGTTTGGCATCTGCATTCCAAAATACATCACAATGCTTTCCTATGGAATTTCTGGTGCGCTGTTCACAGTAGTGCAGTCTGTTCCAACCCAGTCAGAAAAAAAAATACTGCTTGCCCTATTTTAGTTGCATCGGAACGCATCAAAAATGCTTGCAAACGCACTGGAATGCACCTAAAAACCCATTTTATATTTAAAAAAAAAATTAAAACTATCAACCGCGGTAAAACGCACGCAGTTCTGGTATGAACGAGCCCTTAGCAATGCCTTGAACTTCTAACAAGCATGACTAAACAGAAGACTTACCTGCTGTGCATCAGTATCGGACTGGAATGTAACATACCAGTTGTTATTGTGAGCAAACTCACAACTTATTACTTTGGGGCAATTTTCATTATCAAATAATGCTTTCACCTCCTGTAAGGAAGACAAGCAAAAACAAGATACAAATTAGAATATGATTTTATATTATATATACATACAAACAATTCATAAACCCAGTAAGATGTAGCAATTAGGCAGCCAACTGAGCAAATGGAAGTACAACAATGTCTAGAAATCCCAAGGTCTACATCAGCCATCATACCTCTACAGGAGTGGTTTCTGGGATTTCACGTAGAATGATAATACATCGCTTATGATTTGGTCTCACTTTCTCGCCTTTCTCATCAACTTGCACCACAGGAGTCGCTGAAAACAGAAGTTTTAAGATTAGGGAAATGAGATAACAGTTTTACAGCATAAAAAGGCATCAAATTCAGTTCTACATATTCACAAGCGCAAGATGTTAAAGCAGACCATGCACTACATGCAAAAATGGTCCCCTTCCCCCTTGTTAGGAGCAAAGTAAAACTTAACCTGCAAAGAGAAAACAAAGAAAAGAAAATTATAAATATACTTTTTCCTCAACTTCTGTAGTGCTGGAGATGACCTCATTCTGCTCTGCCAGCATGATCCAGGAGCACTCCAGATCTCATGAGACACTGCAGTATGGTGCAAGATTATCTTCTCAGCAAGAATATGGCTTAACATTTCACAGGATCTAGGTGCTGAGAAAAGTATATTTTCTAACTTTAGCATCCCCACAGGTTTGTTTTTATTTAGCAAAGTGTGTGCTTCATAGGCACACACAGCCCTGCGGCAGGCTACCCCCTTCTCCGCCCAACAGTTTGACTGATGGCAGAAGGAGCCCATGGCCTGCTGCTTCAATGAAATTCCAGATATAATAAAGGGGTTTCTTTTGTGCTTAGCATAAGCATGCTACAGAATGTACAATTTTTTTCCCCCCAAAACAAAAATCTAATTTACAGTTAGAATTTTGTTCACTCTGATAAGAAACCAGAAGAGTTTCCCATCTTACTCCTTAGGTTTTTATCACTACATTTGAAAACTGAAATTAGATCCCAGTAAACATTTAAAAAAATCTAGTGAACATTTTCTTTTTCCAGAAATGAAAATTTATGAAAGAAATTCTACTGTGTTTGCCCACTCGTAAAGTGTGTGGTGAAAAATTAGGGCACATTTAATCCATGGGTTGGGGCTTCCGCGCACCCTTACTTAGTAATTACAAAGTTTTACTTACAGCGCAGAACATCAACAATGAGGTCCATGTCAGTGGTCAGCTTCTTAATTCCTTCCATGTTTGCAATAGTCCATATAGGTACAAATTGATCACTATCCATTTGTGACATTAGATACAAATCTTTTGATAGGTTCTCCCTGATTCCGCAAAAGAAAAAAAAAAAGGGACAAGTTACTACTATAACACCACATGCATTTCCTTTTGTTGAACCAGACATTAGGAAAAAATGTATCATGAAAGAGATATGGTAACAGCCAAAGCAGTTCGCATTTTCACAATGCATTGACAGCTATGGCAGTTATACACGTCACCGACCAGCAAGACTTAAACAGAGAAGGCATTCTGGCTTTCATTTGCTTTGTTTGTTCCATGTCTGTGGCTAAAGTCTGAATACCAGGGGCCACTATCATTCGCAGAACTTCAAACCAAATGTTTATTAGCAGTGATTGACTTTACGTCATCTTAGTTGCTGCATTCTTTCTCTTCAGGTTCAGCAACCTGAAAGTACTGAAACATTACATCTGAAGCTGGCCTCAGATAAGGCATGAATATCCACTTGGTGAAACTTAGGACAAATGTGTAAACAGAGGACCAGGTGGCAACCTAGCAAAACTTAAACATGTTGAAAAGCCCATGAAGTACTAATTAAGCTAGTGAAGTTCTCTTTTGATAGGAAATGCAGAGCCTGTCAAGTCTATAGGCTGGAAGAGGAGCTTCTGATTCCACATTGAGTGAAAGAAGAAACAGGCCATCAGGAATGACAATGGAAGGGTTAGTCAGTCTAAAAGAAGCTGTAGCAGAGTTAGACTAACAGTGCATACAACATTCAGACAGTGGAGAAAAATCCCCTTAGGTCATAAAGAATGACATAGAAATGGGAACAGTGTTCTGGTTAAGGAGAAAAGCAGAAGTCACCCTGGGAAGAGGAGAGCCGTTTGCCTAACCAAAACCTTGTCTAAGTATAGCACAAAATGGGTTCTTTATAGGTTAAGGCTGCCTACTCCAACTCTTTAGAGAAGTGATGTCAATAAGGAAGGCAACCTTGTGAGTGCGAGTTGACTTGATAGAATATCTTGATAGAAATAGAGTGGGGTTTCTAGAGAACTGACAAAACTAGGTTAAAAGCCATGGAGCCACCAGGGAAATGTACAAATGTGCCCAGAATAAAATCCCTTGCATCGCAACATGAGAAATAACGTATTTTTCCATCTATAAGACGCCCCCAACTTTTCTTACCCAAAATTCAGAAATCAATATTAAAAATGATATAATTCATCACACTTAACTCTGAGTCAATCACTTTATGCTCCGACATTACAGCTCTGGCACAGGCTACACGCTCTGACGTCGGGTACAAAAGATTTACGATCGGATTGCAGAGACAAGACAAGTCTTCCTCCAATCATAAATCTTTTGTGACTGGCGTCAGCTGTTGCTGGGGAGAGCGGATTGCAGAGGCAAGCTAATATTCTTCCCCTCTCCCCAGCAACAGCTGACGTCAGGTACAAAAGATTTATGATTGGAGGAAGACTTGTCTTGTCTCTGCAATCCAAAGTTTCACTCGTGAGACTAGTTTGTAGTGGTATCTGCACTCGGAAATTCGCAACCCGGTTCTCCTCTCAGCCCCCGTGTATAAGACGCCCGTCTATTTTTGGGTAAACATTTTAATGAAAAAGTAGCGTCTTATACACGGAAAAATACGGTAAGCTTTCGAGGTGGTATGACAGAGAAGTTAATTTCCCAGCTTTCAAGAGCATAGGGATTGCGGAATAAGGTAAGCCCCATGGTCCCTACAGGAATTGGGCTTCAACAACCAGGCCGTTTAAGGCAGCGTCTGAGAAGCAGATTGGTAAACTGGTCGTTGGGGCAGAAGATCCGGACAATCTAGGATGGTCCATGAGACTCACGTGAATGGCCTCCATCTCAGTCTTGTAGAGCAGATGAGGTGAGCTTCAGAGGAGTAAAGTCGTAGATCAGGGTAAACTAATCCCACAGTCAGCAGGGCATCCACTACGAAGGCTAGAGAATCCTTGGACCTAAAGACAAACTTGCCGTATTTGCTGTTGAGCCTCAGCCATGAAGAGCATGTCCGGCACCCCCACTCCCCATCTGTGGCTAAGGCTTTAAAACACCCCAGGGTGAAGAGAAACTTCCCAAGTTAAGATTTTTTTTGGAGGAAGTCTGCCTGCCAATTCTCCATGTCTGAGATGTGCACATTAGACAGGGCTAGAATATGAAGTTCTGCCCAAGCCACAATCTGATCAGCTTCTCTTTCAGCTGTGAGACTCCTGGTTCCACCCCAATGGCTGATGTAAGCCAAAGTCATTGTGTTGTCCGTCAGATGACCATTGAAGGCAGAACAAAATCGCTCCAAGTTCCAAGCTACTGACCAGTGACCAGCTTTTTCCAGCAACAAAGTTCAGGACGACTCTTCAAAATGACAGATTGGCACCCGTCTTGAGAACTTTACAGACCAGTGGGAGTTGCAATGGTCTGGAATGAAACTGGGCATATGAACTGCTTTGAAAGAGGCCACTATGAAGGCCAGTACCCTTACGCAAATGCGGTGGGTCAGTTGGCTCCTGGAATGTAGCGTCCAAATCTGGGTGCATAGAGCTTTGAGTTTTTCATGTAGAAGGAACACACTGGACAAAGCAGTAACCAGAAGGTGACTTAGAATCTCATAATCCAAGAAATTAGTGTTTAAAAATGACAGTAAACTCAGGAGTTAAATCTTAAAAATGCATTCAAGAAGCTGAACTATTAAAGAAAATGTATATTAAGCCCTCCTTACCATCTTGTCTTAAATTGTAATGTGACTGTAATGTCTTCCTTATATTGTAAAGCGCTGCGCAAACTATTGGCGCTATATAAATCCTGTATAATAATAATAATAATATTATTTGTCACAGAACAAGCAGGGAATCACCAGCACTCAGTAATGAAAGCAAATTTGTCCCTTTATTGGACAGAGGCGTCATAGAAAATCAAAAGAACCGAACATTAATTATAATTCCTAATTATAATAAAAAATAAAAACCCCAGTGGTGATTAAATACCACCGAAATAACGCCCTATCTGTCCCCAAAAAATGGTATAAAATTCATTTCAGTACAGCGTTGCATGACGGAATAAACGTCAGTCAAAGTATCGCAGCGCTGAACACTGAAAAATGGCCTGGCCAGGAAGGGGGTCTAAACACCTGGTCTTGAAGTGGTTAAAGATCAAAAAAGTGACAATAAAGCAGAAAACAAAATAACGTAAATAAATAATCGTACCAACAATCGAAGCATCCAGGCAGGTGCTGTGGCTGCATAGCGGTTGGCATAATCACGGCATCAGTATAGAGGCACAGATTGATCGTAATAGTATAATAGATGGGCATTTACGTCTCACTTCCACAGGATGCCGGCGCAGGAAATACCTGTCATACAAGAGACGAGCCGTCGCGGCTCTCAGAGAATGCACGGCGCATGCGCTAAGACTACATACCATATATGGTGTGACCAGAGCCGAAGCTTCATAGGTCGCTATGGAGACTCAAGAATAGGTCTCCCAGACGTATAGGGCGCATGCGTCGGAACCATCATAGCGTAGACGCAGCCGATTCAAAATACAAGGTCAAATAGCCGATATAGCCAATATGCAGGCAAAGCAGTACTCCTGGGTCAATGAAAGTATCGAAATATTAAATTAGACCAAAAATGACGAACAAACACAAAAATATGTTAAGCTATGATGGTTCCGATGCATGCGCCCTATACGTCTGGGAGACCTATCCTTAAATCTCCATAGCGACCTATGAAGCTTCGGCTCTGGTCACACCATATATGGTATGTAGTCTTAGCGCATGCGCCGTGCGGTCTCTGAGAGCCGCGACGGCTCGTCTCTTATGACAGGTATTTCCTGCGCCGGCGTCCTGTGGAAGTGAGACGTAAATGCCCATCTATTATACTATTACGATCAATCTGTGCCTCTATACTGATGCCGTGATTATGCCAACCGCTATGCAGCCACAGCACCTGCCTGGATGCTTCGATTGTTGGTACGATTATTTATTTACGGTGTTTGTTTTCTGCTTTGTCACTTTTTTGATCTTTAAACATGGCGCTTTTTGCCACCATTATGACGTCACTATGGGTGTATTCTCCTAATGATTGATTACAGGGGATATATATGTGGGTTATGATGATCATTATGTTGTCATGTTTTCTGCCTTGAGGAAGGGACCCTGTGCGGCCCCGAAACGTCGGTTCTTTTGATTTCTATGACGCCTCTGTCCAATAAAAGGGACAAATTTGCTTTCATTACCGAGTGCTGGTGATTCCCTGCTTGTTCTGTTTCTGCACGGCGCCATCCGTGAACCAATATCACTGCGAGCACCATCTTTTCTTGCTTGGCCGGGACTGCTGTGAGGTGTGCGGAGGGTTCCCCCAACGACCTACATCTATTTGTCTCACACACACGATTTGCGGATCTGCAGCTGAGAGATACACCGATACATTTTTGTTAAATCCTAAACAGTCATTCAAATACATTACCTTTTAACTCCTGAGTTTAGTGTCAATTTAAGCACCAAAGCAGTGCGGCTTTTGAACAGTTGGACATTGAGAGACTGAGCCAACTGTACTCAGGTCATCCAGGTATTACACTATGAGAGCAAAGCAGACAAATACAGGGACTAGTACCTTAGTGAAAACCCGAGGTGTGGTGGACAGGCCAAAGTAATGCGAGAAACAAAACAAAATACAGGAATGATAGGGACATGCAAGTAAGCATCTTCGATGTCCACAGAGGCCAGAAAGTCAGCCAGACAGAGGAAGCAATTAACAGCCTTGAAGATTCCATGTGGAATTTTCATACCCAAAGTAGTAGTTTGCTTTTCACACAGAATAAAACATATCAGTTGAAATAAGGCACAAGAAAAAAAAATGGAGCATTATGGGTGTGGGAGGGGGTCATTTTAGGCTGTTCTTGCAGCTTTGTTTCATCGGTGTCCAATCTATTAAAGGCAGCAGAATAACCCTTTTGTACCTAAATTACTCTGTGTTCCTTCAAGTATCATTAAGAAACTAGCATTTTTAGACAGGGGAGCAATGGCAGCACCCATATTTTTCTCATGACCAGTGTACCTTGAGCAATTCAGACACCCATGCTGCAAAATGTTGTTTTCTACATTGCTAATCAGATGCCAACAAAGAGCAGGTTTCATTTGATTGATAATTGTGGGAAAATGCATGGTACAGATTGCTCTTTTTACATCAAGTGTGTATATATATATTTATATCTTGAACGTCAATGAACTGGCTATGCTGTCTGATCACAAAACAAGCTCAATTACAGTTCAACATGTAAGGCAGTTAACCTAAAGTATTTAAAATGCGTGTTGAGCCAATTTCTGGTTCAGTTTTAAAAGCCTGTCAAAGTTCAATGATCTCATTACAGAGGCAGGCAATTTAAAAATTAAAGTTGAAACCAGAAAAGGGGTCCAAAAAAAATCAATCAATATATACAAAAGAGGTTATATTATATCAACAATTCAGTGGTGCAGAACACTAGAATTTGGGCAGCTTGTTATAAAAATAGAACGTAATTACAGGATCTTATACAAAATCTTTATGGTTATTTTCCTTTACTTATTGTGGCAAACTATACATCATATAAGTCTACCTTGAAAAGCAGAATTCAAGTTGTTTCTTCAAACACTCTTTAAGGTCCTCTGCAGAAACAGCTTGCGGAACTGTTGAAGTGCCATCACCTTTAAAAAGGGAAAAGAAAAAAAGGAAAATTAGGATGATACCAATGAATTGAGGAGGTAGGTGTGCAGGGATGATTGTTTGAGAAAGTGATAGTTCAGTGGTTAGGTTGAGGTGGGATAGGCTTCCCTGAAGAGATGAGTCTTAAGGGATCGCCTAAAGGCAGTCAGTATGGGAGATAGACTGACAGGTTGGGGTAGAGAGTTCCATAGGATGGGAGAGACTCAAGTGAAGTCCTGGAGGCGAGCATGGGAGGAGTTGATGAGGGAGCTGGAAAGCAGGAGGTCTTGTGAAGAGCGGAGGGGACGGTTAGGGTGATACTTTGAGACCAGGTTTGAGATATATCCGGGGCCAGCGTTGTGGATGGCTTTGTAAGCTGTTAATATTTTGAATTTTATCCTTTGGGCTATTGGAAGCCAGTGGAGGGATTGACAGAGGGGGGTTGCAGACACCGAGCGGTTGGTTAGGTGAATGAGCCTAGCAGCTGCATTCATAATAGACTGAAGGGGGGATATCCTGTATAGTGGAAGGCCAATGAGGAGGGAGTTGCAATAGTCCAGACGAGAGATAACAAGGGAGTGGATGAGTAATTTTGTGGTTTCCTTGGAGAGGAAGGGGCGTATTTTGGAGATGTTACGATTATTCCTTATAATAAAATCGAGACTTAAGCACATGCCCGCATAGCACTATTAAACCAAGACATTCTGTAAACTATACAAGCCCCCCCCCCCGACAATATTGTTGGATCAAGTTTTTAATGGCCTGCCTAAACAGTCAGTACTGCAGGGCTGTAAAGTGTTGTACAGTTTAGCAATACAAACGAAGTTGTAGCATGTGTTCTTGCCATAGTCCTAGCCCCCTTGGAGAATGATGTGTAGTAGTGTATAAAGAGGTATGACTACATATAGACAAGAATATAGAACACTCCGGGACTAAAACACATGAACAAAATGAATACTCTTTGTTGCATTGTTGTTCATATTTGTACTACCAATTTATAAAAGGGTAGTTTGTCAAATTCTTACGGCGTGCAAATGCACCTGGTTTGAGGCCACTGTGTTCTCAACAGTTTAGATTTGTCATTTTTCCCATAGCTCGCATTTCTGTGTGATGTAATTCATTTAAAGTATTTGAGGTGGTTAAGCAAACTCCACTATGACAAAGTAAACTTTAAAAGTCTTTAATTCGAAAGCCAATTCACAAAATATATCTGCAAGCAATTTTATTTAAAATGAAAAAGGTCCATCATTTATTAATTATTCATTAATAAAGCTCAGACAGCAATAAAAGTAGTATCAACTGCCTACGCTGATTGCACTTGGAATATCAGGAGCTTGTTTGTGTAATTTCATTTGTTTTCTTTTTATTAAACAACGTAACTTTTATTAAAATAACTGCCATGGAGACCCCTGTACAGGAATTTCCTGTTTCGGGGTGACAATCATCTCCCAGTTGCGTCTGTTAGCATAGGCTGAAAAGGTGCAAATATGTTATACATTAAAAAAATATATTTTTTTAACATTTGTAATAGAATAGTGTATTTGACATACACTATTGAATAGATGGCACTGCAGAACACTGCAGCAGGAAGGTGACAGTGTTCATCAGAAGTACTTTCACTTTTTGGAAACAAAGTCTCCAATCTGTATGTGATCACTATATCAGATCTGTCAGTGATCATACATCAGCAACCACCAGCTCTCAATCATCAGTGGGGAAACCCACTGTCATTGACAACAGAGATGGAGAGCCAGCAGCTGCAAGTGTCAGCTGCTGGATCAGATATAGGAATGTTGATTTATGTATACCTTTGCATGTGACCATGCCAGGGAATGTTAAAATACAGAGCGCAGATGGGAAGCTTATTATTATACAGGATGTATATAGCGCCAACAGTTTGCGCAGCGCTTTAAAATACAAGGAAGACATTACTTATCCCAGAAAATCTAAACTGCTTAAGACACGTACAGCAGGCAATCCCTGGTGCAAGTTAGAGCTTCTCTAGTGTACCCTAGGATCCCAAATCCTTTGCACGATAATATGCAAATCTTGACATCAATAAGAGAAGAAGTCAAGAGCTAGTCTTATGCAAAAACATGAAGGTGGGTGGGGCCTCAGCTGTCCACTTTGTCCTCAAAGACTAGATTTGTATTATACAATACCCGGAATTTTAAGTTGCCCAGAAAAATTGAAAGAAACGGAAAGTTGGAAGAATGCAACAGGAGATATCTGTTCTACACTACCGAAAGCACTTAAGATGCAATGCGTTACATAAAAGGTAAAATGTATTAAGCACCTGTATCTACTACACACTCTGAACTATAAGCATTACCCCATAGACTCCTGTGTATGTGTACTCTTAAAATGAACCTTCCTATTCCCCAAGCTTATATAATGTATCTGCTTATATTTGCATTACCTTTTCCTATAAAATATACAAAAAGATCTCACTGGTTACTGCAGCTGTCAGCTCTTCAATAACACCAATCCCCACTGCCTGTTTCTGCACTTCCCTGTCCCTTAGGTCTCGTTCACACCTAGGCGTATTGCATATGCGCGATTCGCGGTATAAAAACATGCAGTTGAAAATGTATTGCAAGCTCTGAAAAAAACAGGTGCAAAACAGGGGCAAAAAACATGTGCAGTTGGAATAGAGCAAGCTTTGGGCAAAACATGTGCAGTTGGAAAAGTAGTGCAAGCTCAGGTGGAAACAGGGGCACATAAGACAGATTTGCATATAAAAAAAAAATCTAAGACGCTAAATCTGTCATAATTGCTTTGATAAATTGCCCCCAATGTTTCTATTCCTGAAAGAATGTTTAAGTTTTCTGAACGTTGTTGGAACGATCAGAAAACCTTTAGTGACATCTGATCCTGAAATGCCGCAGGATCAGTGTCACTAAGATTATTATTGGCTGTTCTGAAGTTTGAAGCAGCCTAATAACCAAAAATGAATTGATTAATTTATCAAGCAGTTATAGTGAGATTAATTCACAATGACTGATATAATTAAATAAATAAAAT